GACAGAGTAGGGTTTGAGGGATGGAGGACCATATTTTAGTGGGTTATAACTGAACAAGCAGGTCCACTATTTCTGTAATATTTGGAGTGACAGCCTTTATGTTTATAAATTGTTTTTTAAAGGGGATGGGGGAGTTAATTTCTAATATCCAGGGGTTAAGTATACAGGGTTTTGCCAGTACCCAATTTCTAGCAATTATCTTCCAAGCTATAAACTGTAATTCTTGTAGGAAATTTTGAGTCTATCAGAGTCTAATTTGAGTTTACTAAGAGTAACATTGTGTTTTGTTATTGAGAATGCAGAACCTTATTCACCCACGAGATGGCAGCATTCAGTACTTTTACTTGCCATAGCCCTAATACAGACGTTTATAGAGTGCTGGGAATTGTAGGCTGAAAATGGAGCTTTCCTCACAGTCAAGCTCAAGTTAAACTACAGAGCCCAGGAGCAATTACCTAGGGGCGGGAGGATATAAAAGAAAAAAAATCCTGCGAAGACACGGGGGTAGTTGGAGAGATACTCAGCAAATGAAGGAATGTGTGACAGTTCATGCTAAGTCACAGTGTTCTAGAACAAACCGGGTGTACAGTGTAGCTGGGGAAACTGTTAAGCCGATCATCGAGTGGAAAAAGCTGCTCCAGGGAGACCTTTCAGCTGCAGAAGTGCAAGAGTCACTACTATCACAGCAGCATTTCCAGTTAAAGGAGGCCCCCCACTACAAGACGCCTATCACTTCTCTGATTGTCACATAAGGATTGGGTGAGAGGGTTGCTGACCCACACATCATTGTATCCAGTTACAGTTAGCTTGTTGCCAGCTAGGTTTTTCAAGGTTATAAACGTTCTTCAGGACTGGCCTTTATCAGTGACAAGTACACCTGTGCCCTTTATTGCTGTAAACTGCCATCCCTTGTCTGCCATCAAGATCACAGCCTGTAAGTTGTTGAGTTAACCCCTTGCTCCCTGGTAGGCAGAATCTTTTCCATGTGGCTGTATCCCTTTCAGCTCATGCCCTCTAAGTAAGGTGTTTTGCTGTTTAAGACCAAGCTTACCTCTTAAAGTGAACTACGCTTACACATGTACTCTTTTAAAGTGACGTTTGCCAAAAACTCTGTATCTTAAAGTAACATTTGCCTACAATTCTCTACCCTAAAGTGACCTGTGCCAACAACTTTGCCTCTCAAAAGGGAACTATCCTGTTCATTCCACCTCTTAAAGGGACAGCATCTTGCATTGTGCTGTTTCATAAGGACCCCAACCAAGCTAGCAGAAGAACACATTTTTAGACTGTTTCATACTCAGGATTCCTATCAGGAATACTGGTTTGCCAGTGATCCAAAAAATTTTCAGGCTTAAACCTCGACTCTCCTGACTGAGGGCCTATAAGCGAGCCTTGTTAACCCTTACACATCTCACTTGGGGAGTGATCTTATAGTCATATGGCTACTCTTTATGGTCCTGTGCGATGTAGGTAGCCACACTTTAAAGGGTAATAACTTTACAGAAATGTGCAATCGCACACAGGCACACGCACAGTGTATGTTGGTGTCAGGACTAATTAAAGGATGCTTCTTCCTGTGCTCAGTGCTGAATTGGTCTTCAGCTGTTTCCACTGTGACCTGCTGTATTCTTGTATGATTCCCTTGTTGCTGACCCGGTTTGTTCCTGACCTGACTTTGGATTCTGCTCCTGACTTGTTGCTAAAGTTCCTGACCCAGCTCTGTTCCTGACTTCGGCTCTCCTCATGGTTTGGTACTTCACTACCCACCTATGGATGACCCTGGCTATTCCTGTGACCTCGCTCCTGTCTCTGATTCTGGCTTCCTGTCCCATTTGTGTGCCTGGCTGTCTACTATACCAGCTCTGCACAACATTGAGTGTTCCTGCTTCAAGTCTGCTGGAAGATCTGACACGCCACTCATCCTAAACCTGTTGTGCAAGTAGAGTGCCCCTTTAACCCAGGTTGGATTCTGGAGCATTGCTACCATTCCTGAACCAGAGGTCTACCAGTCTCTTCAGGACTCCAACTGCAAGCTATTCTGGCAACACCTGCTGGCACTCTTGTTCCCCTTGTCCCTCGGAACCCTCTGTTCTCCTGGTCCCTTGGAACCTTCTGTTCTACTTCCAGCGGAGTCAGGGCTAGTGACAGAAGTGAGGCCAACCTCGTCATTTCATTCTCCTATCAGGTACATGACACTTACCATTTTATTGCTACTAATATAACCTGGTCATTATTATTACAGTGTGTATCTTTCTTGTGTAACAGCCGGAAGACTCCCAGACCAAGGTATTTTAGTGGTGTCAGCAGGAGTGGGATTGCGTTTAGGGCCAAGGAAAGAGCAGAGGGCCCAAATGTATCAGTGGCTCCTTTGGGGGTAGTGCTACATAAGGATACCTAGTAGACATATTTTTGGAGTCTAGGACCCCTGATGATCCAATTTCATCATGAAAAGACTATGTACTTGATGCTGGTTTCATTGGATCCAAAATGTCCAAAGCAGGTGGAAAAAGTACCACTTTGTGAACAGTTTGGATAGAGGGGCCTGTGAGAGAGTGTGAACCTAGAGAGTTGTATAGTGGTGAGCCGGTTCTGTACATAATGTATGAATAACTGAGTTTAAAATAAAAGTGTATTTTTTTAGATGTGTCAAGAAAATATAAAATATTACATATAAATATTTAGTATGGCTAACAAAGGGTTAAAGTTAGTGTTTTTTTCTATAGCTTCACTGATAAATAAAGGGTTAGGATTAATGTCAGGGTTAGTTTTGGTTTTGTTTATAACCAAAGCCAATGGATCCTATATTAACCCTATATTATATACATTTCACCTATGCAGTCCAGCAAAATCAGTTTGGACAAAATTACTCCACTCATTTTTTGAGTCTGACATCAAGACAAATTTAGGTACCTTAACTGATTCAATCAAAAAATATTTAATGAATTATAGTTAACATGCAAATGCCTATATCAGTGTTTATTTCCGAAAGAACAAACATGGTGCATTACTACAGAAGATTTGAGAGTGGAAAAACTCTTGTAGGTCATACAGGTAAAATATAGCAGAGACTTAGTGTACCGAGTCTCATTTCTAGGATAATAAAGACTTTCTGTTAAAATTAATGGAAAATCGAGGCTGTCCAGGGACAAGCAGATGACATGGGAGTCCTACAGATACCATATGGTAGCACAATTTTAGCTTCTATAATAAGGCCTGGAGGGCAAAAATATAATTTGAAAATGCTCAGCAACCCAGCTCTTTCATTAAAGGAAAAGTATAATCAATATACATGTTAATTTTGTTGGTAAATTTAAATATAATTGAACACCACAGCTTTACTCATTAAAAAGTCCTGGCTTGGGTAAACCATATGATAATAATGAATCTTTTCTTTACAATTTGGTACTTGTTGCCAGGTTATACCTAGCTGGAGTTGTCAACAAAAAAGGATTAAGTTGCTTGCACATTATCATGGCTAATTAGGCTATTCTAGGCCTAACTGTCATGTGTACGAGTGCAAAACAGCCACCATGATGACAGTTTTAATTAGCATCCCTATACAAGGAGGTTGAAAGTGTATCTATGATTTGATGGTTGATGCCAGATGTGCAACTACAAATCATAGGGCCCCATAGCAAACTTATGATCACTTCCTTCCCCAACCCCGCTCAAGAAGGCTTCATACGTTGAACAGCAGGGAAAATTGCACCTTCACTCTGTGGCCTATTTCAGAGGGGTAGTTGTAGTTGATGATGTCAGACTTACGTAATCAGCCACACTCACACCACTGGCACCAGTCTGTCCTCTCCTACCAAAGTGCTTCTAAGTCAACAGCAACTAGGAAGCCAATCATAGAGGCTGTGTGTGATTGACCATGCTCATGCGTTGACTTTGCAGCTAGCCAAATTGCTTTTTAATGGTGTAATTTAATCAAGATTATACCCAGTGCTATTCAGACCACTTAAGTATATATTTTTTCCAGCGTAGCTCTGCAATAATGGAAACTTCTCTTTACCCAGGGAATCATTCTACTCATTTGGATGACTGGGAAGAGGTTGCAGAATCACATAACTCTCACCCCCCTCCACAAAAAGGGAGATTTGTCAGGTATGCAAGTGGGGATAGGTCGCTTTGATCTATTTAAACATTTTTGTGATATAAAGTGGTTGAAATTGCCAGAAAATTTGCATGTGTGTGACCAGCACGGGAGTTCAGCGAACACACTTTTCTAGTACAGCTGGTGGAGTAATTTTCTTGTCAAAGTAAATTTATCATAACACAGCATAACAAATTATTTGGAAAACATATAAATAGAATTAGCAGGAATATGTAATAAATTTACTCACATCAAAGGGTGATATTTCGTGTCCCTCCTCAGGAGGCTCTAAGGGAACTCTGGATTTTGATAAAGAGATGACATGGTATTTTGTTTATTTTTTTTTCACTTTTTTTAACCTCAATACTGCTGATCTCCTCCAGCTTCTTTCAGCCACTTCATGTCTGCATGTACTCACTCTGATGTCAGCTGCACATCATTGCTCTTCAGTGTCTTTCTAAAAGTCCTGATAGTGACAAGATAGAACATGCCTGTGCAATGTGTGACAGCATGGTCACCTGTATTCTCCACTAAAAATGCATGTGACAGGGTGACCATGCAGGAGCACATTTGGGAGACAGTTGTCACCTTCTACCACCCTCAAATGCCTGAACAAGGACCTTTATGTCAGGATCACCTTATATTTTAATGAAATATGCATGTTACCATGTTGAAGCTTATATGAGATTTTAGTGATTATGTTTTTTCTACCTAAAGTGTAGAGTAAAGTGTCAATGATAAAAATGTAAAGTCATTATAATAATTTCCACATTGCATTTAATTTATTTCTAGCATAAACCTATTACCATATTTTTCACACCATAAGAAGCACTTATTTCCCCCCAAAAAATAAGGAAAAATGTCTGTGCGTCTTATTGAGGGAATATAAAGCGACCGGACCAGTATTCCCGCTGCTGCCGTGTTAGAATACTGGTCCAACCGCTTTGCTCTACTGTGCAAAACCTGCTCCTCGGTCCTACCTGTTCCTCGGTCCAGCGGTGTCCTGCTTTCACCGGCCATCTTCTCTCCCTGGCACCGGCATCTTCAGTGTGGGTACCCGGCTGTGACAGCTTGCGGCTACCTGTCAAATTTGTTCGGGTCCCCCCCTCTCCTGCTCCCCAAAGGTCTGCAGTCTCTGGTCATCTCCTGTACTATGTCTGCAGTCTCTGGTCATTTCCTGTACTATGTCCGCAGTCTCTGGTCATCTCCTGTACTATGTCCGCAGTCTCTGGTCATCTCCTCTAGTATGCCCGCAGTCTCTGGTCATCTCCTGTCCTATGTCCGCAGTCTCTGGTCATCTCCTGTCCTATGCCCGCAGTCTCTGGTCATCTCCTGTCCTATGTTTGCAGTCTCTGGTCATCTCCTGTACTATGTCCGCAGTCTCTGGTCATCTCCTGTACTGTGTCTGCAGGCTCTGGTCATCTCCTGTCCTATGCCCGCAGTCTCTGGTCATCTCCTGTCCTATGTCCGCAGTCTCTGGTCATCTCCTGTCCTATGCCCGCAGTCTCTGGTCATCTCCTGTCCTATGTCCGCAGTCTCTGGTCATCTCCTGTACTATGTCCGCAGTCTCTGGTCATCTCCTGTAGTATGTCCGCAGTCTCTGGTCATCTCCTGTCCTATGTCCGCAGTCTCTGGTCATCTCCTGTACTATATCCGCAGTCTCTGGTCATCTCCTGTACTGTGTCTGCAGGCTCTGGTCATCTCCTGTCCTATGCCCGCAGTCTCTGGTCATCTCCTGTCCTATGTCCGCAGTCTCTGGTCATCTTCTGTACTATGTCCACAGTCTCTGGTCATCTCCTGTAGTATGTCCGCAGTCTCTGGTCATCTCCTGTCCTATGTCCGCAGTGTCTGGTCATCTCCTGTACTGTGTCTGCAGTCTCTGGTCATCTCCTGTACTGTGTCTGCAGTCTCTGGTCATCTCCTGTACTGTGTCTGCAGGCTCTGGTCATCTCCTGTTCTATGTCCGCAGTCTCTGGTCATCTCCTGTTCTATGTCTGCAGTCTCTGGTCATCTCCTGTTCTATGTCCGTAGTCTCTGGTCATCTCCTGTACTATGTCCGCAGTCTCTGGTCATCTCCTGTACTATGTCCGCAGTCTCTAGTCATTTCCTGTACTATGTCCGCAGTCTCTGGTCATCTCCTGTACTATGTCCACAGTCTCTGGTCATCTCCTGTACTATGTCTGCAGTCTCTGGTCATCTCTTGTAGTATGCCCACAGTCTCTGGTCATCTGTAATATGTCCGCAGTCTCTGATCATCTCCTGTACTGTGTCCACAGTATCTGGTCATATCCTGCACAATGTCTGCAGTCTCTGGTCATTTCCTGTACTATGTCTGCAGTCCATTGCTTCAGAATATTTTTTTTCTTGTTTTCCTCCTCTAAAATCTAAGTGCTTCTTATGGTCAGGTGTGTCTTATGGAGTGAAAAATACGGAAATCTGAAGGATCTTGAAGTTTGCATAGTTACTTTGTGAAAATCCCCACACATTTACTTCTTTGAATTCTGTGACACGTAGTCACTATGCCCTGTGTGTAGGCACTGCTTTTGTGTCACACATTTCGCAGAGCCTGCCTTCTGAACTACAGAGGTGCTGAGAAGAGGAGTTTCAGGAGTCAGTACAGGAATCACTGCAGGCAGCAAGGTAATATGGGATATGTAGGCCTTGGAAATGGGAAGCAAATACCAGGAGGAGAATCTGTAAAGCATGCAGGGAATCCAGGGAGTTGTGGGAAGAGAAGGCCAGCCGACAGGCAGAACTCGCAACATGAAATTCGATTTTCAAGTAATGTTATATTGGATTATCAATAATAATTGTTTGTATTATTATAATAATCATAAAATGAAAGCGTATGCTGTCACCATAGAACTCCTGTAAACCGAAGAAGTCAAAAATCCTCAAGCATAACTTTCATCTACCTGTAATTATATGCATAGATAAATATATTCATGGTATTTGCCCTTTAATACTGAATTGCTCTTCTACTTAATCCTTCAGCACTACTCCACCTTCAGAAATCTTCCTTCCTTTATTTTCATTATCATTTCCACCTTCATTAACCTCTTCAGCAGCAGCTTCCACATTCACTTGTACCTGCTCCTCGAAGTCAGGTACCGCACAGGGAATTGTGTAATGCTCAGAGAATTATGGAGCATATGTCTAGTGTTATGTTCACAGCCCAGGATAAACACAGCGCACTTGTCAGAAACAATATACTAAGTATGGCGTTTACATGCAGGGTATTATATATGACAAATGATCTCAATATTATAGGTGTCTTATTTCATCAACGTTTGAAGAATAGAGGTATTCCAGAAATAACTGACACAGATTTCTTACTAAGACTGCCTTTACTTCAGTTCTTAAGGAATGCAAAAGTAGTGTGTCTAAAGTTGTAGTTCAACCAACCATCCACTGGTAACATGATATGAATCTCCTACAGTTAAAGTCTACTGTATGCCTGGGAAGAAAAAGAAAACATATTCAGTAATTCTCTGAAATATGTGCACATTTCACCATTCTTTATCCTTTTAAAAACAGCATATACAGAAATATACTTGTTGTTCCTGTCAGGAATTCAGTGAGCTTCTATGTTCCTGTGTAGAGATGAGTCAAACAGCCCTGGATTTGGTTCAGCAGGGGTTCGATGAACTTCAAAGATGTTTGGATATTGAACCCAAACCCCATTGAAGTCTATGGCTGTTGAATCTGTCAAATTAAAAGGGCCCATTTACTGGGATAATGTGCAAGAGGGTGTCAAAAATAGCATGGAGGGGTGGACAATGCCTTGAAGAACATGTACCAATGCAAACAAAATATAAAAAAAAAATCCATGGAGCCAGGAGAAGTGATTTTATTTTAGCACTGACATTTACAAAGTAAAATATGCTTTAAAATTTCCAGCAAATGACTTTGACAGCTGTCATTGCCAGCTTCTTTAAAAAAGAAAACAGTACACAGACCGCCCAGTAGTCTTCTATGTATTTTGGGGGCCCTTTGGAGAGGTTTGTGTGCTGTTTTTGTTTTGCTTTTTTTTTAAGGAGCTGGCAATGAATGTCATAAGCTGGCAATGTAAATGCTTTCATTTTTTTGTTCATCGTTAATTTCCTTTTTTGCATTAGCACATGCTTTTAAAAAAATAAAAATACACCAAAATTTCCTCATTATAAATCTATTGTCAATCACACCATCCAGCAATGCAGAACTATGTCAATCATGATACCTGATGGCAGGGGTTAAAATTTTGAGTCCATACCTACTAGCCGGTCACAAAACTTACTCTCCACCAGTTGCCCCACCCAACCTTGCCCTGGTCCGCCCCCAACCCCACCCCTGGCCCTCCCCAAACCCCACCCCCCCCCGCCCCAACCACGCCCCCTTAAACCTTATGAAATTACATTTTTCTTTAGAATAAAGAGTCCAAAATATAAAACTGTACACAGTAATGTATATCCCAGCTCCCCTGTACTCCATTATAGTGATGACATGTATACAGTAATGTATATCCCAGCTCCCCTGTACTCCATTATAGTGATATGACATGTACACAGTAATGTATATCATGTACACATTATAGTGTATGACATGTATACCCAGCTCCCCTGTACTCCATTATAGTGATATGACATGTATACTGGCGTCCTTAAAAACCATTGAAAATCTAAGTGAACCCCCTGCACACAGCTATTAACCTTTCTAGCAAACCTTGCCATGAAAAAAAACAGGGATTTTTTGGTCACACATATTGCAGTACTTTCCAGCTGTGTCAAAGTAATCTGTCTATGGCCAGTTTCTAACCTGCTTTGCAAAATGCAAATGCTACAGTAGATATAGTGCCAATATGGGGGCAAACAGACACAAGCTGGGGGACAGCTACAGGTTCAGGTTTGGCCACTGACCTCCAATACAATAGAAATAAGATATACCTGTGCTCAAATCCTTGTACAGGTATATAATTGATCAGGTGATAAAGGGGTGTGACAACATATTAACCCTAGAAATTCTGGATGAACCTTCTTAACAACCAGTGACAACACTCCCCGTTCACTTACATGACCGGGGGATCCCCGGCCATGTAAGTGAATGGGGCTGGTGACTTCAATGGTTGTTATACCTGTGATCAAATCCATTAGGTGGAAAAGCGATGTGACCACTTTCTAGCAAACTTTGCAGTGAAAAAACAGGTTTTTTTTGGAAAGGGTATATAGCAGCGTTCATCCAGAATTTCTAGTGTTACCATGTGGTCACTTCCCTTTATCACTTGAATTTGAGCACAGGTGTAACAACCATTGAAGTCACCAGCCCCATTCACTTACATGGCCGGGCATTCTCCTCCATGTAAGTGAATGGTGCAAGTGTTGTCACTAGTTGTTAAGGACTCAGGGTGCCTGCACCACTGGCTTCCTTAACAACTATTGACAACGAGAAGCTGTCATGTATAACAATGTTAGTAATACCAACGACACTTGACTACCAACAAATGCACGAACAGCCAAAGTTCTGTCCAAATTTGTGTTCGAACCAAATCTTAAACCTAGGGCTCACGCTGTTTGGCATTATGTTGTGAACTCAAATAGGAAGCTAGGGGTGCCCTTGGTTTCTGACAGATTGGGGCTTGTAGCAGTTTTAAATCAGTAAAACACAATGAAATGTATTACAGGTACTGTATATATTGAATATTTTTTTTATTTTGCCAAAACATACACTTAGGACATCGCATGATATACTAGTCAGCAACCTGTAATGTTTGAGCCCTAAGTGGCTTTCAGTTACTTTTTTGGGGTTCCCAGTAAACTCTTAGTGGGTGTCTTTTACCTGGTCAAGTGAACATCTTCATTTGCCATAAAAGCTTCCTGCAAGCAATAAGTTAGGTTGAGGATGCTGGATTATGTCACATTATTAAATATTTAAAACATCTTTTATACTTTTATTTAGTACTGCTCTCTATGACCCTATAATGTGACTTATGAGCTGATAAGAGATGGGGACCTCTGGAAAAGCAGCATGCAGTTTTCTATTCTCTCAAATTTGACAATAATACTTTCTTTATTTTCAGCTGTTTTAAATACATTTTTAAGAAAAGTTCACACAATCTGCCAGATGTATTTTGGCAAGACAGCCCTAGCAAGAGCATAAAATGTGGCTTACCTAAGGCAGGCATGGTAACCAGAAACGTGGAGAAGGGAGAAAAAGTGTACAAAAAGTGCACTACAGGGCAGGAAAAGTGAGGTCAAGACAAGCAAAGTTGGCAGCGAGGGTCGATCAGCTAACTAGCAAAGAGTTGCACTGTATGATGGCCATCTTCAAATGGGAAGGGCATGACCAATTAGGATGGTTTCCAATGCCTGTCCACATATTGGCATAAACAGCCACACTCCCCAGAGGAGAACAGTATGTCTAATAGTATAAATGGAATTCTGGTGTATGTGGACACAGAGGGTGAATTTT